GATTCGATTCGTGCTTTTATATTGATAACATTTCATTTTCGTTTTGATATGTCTTTGATGTTAGAAATGTTTACATTTCAGTGGTTGTTGTGTTCAGAAACGTACGAGCAGTTTTCGTACCACCGTCTCAAAATACTTCAGTGTGGTATGTGTATGGGCATCGTATATGGTCAGTGACAAGCTGATATAAATAATAAACAATACCTGCAAATGAAAATTATTTTGATCGAACTATGCATAACATCGAACTATACATTGGCGAAGGTAAGCATTTAAAGTTGTTGTCAATTATTTATCCTTTTATCAAGATTTTCAATTCAGTATACCGATTATTTATCCTTTTATCAAGATTTTCTATTCAGTATACCATGCCTCCGGCCCACGGTACATGTATAGATATTTTGGTCAAATTAACTCCATATCAGTACAATAAGACAGATGCATGAATAACAGTAAGTACAATCCAAATGTCACCAGAGCATTGCAATTAATTTAAACAACTGTCATTCACAATCTTATGATAAGTCCTTAGTATAAATGTAAGATCACGTTGAGTGTTCATAGCTTGACGTTAATACAATGTATCTCTGTATGATCACGTGTTTTAACGGCTTTGACACCCAATATTTGTGGAACAACTCTAGGACTAATGCAAGGGAAGTGCTGTCTCCAATACTGTTTCACTATAAGTGGATGATTTTGATATGTCATTCTTGGAAGATGGTTAAAACGTCCGCTCGTCACACTGAAGACCCGGGTTCGATTCCCAACATGATTACAATGTGTGAAGCCCATTTCTGGCGTTCCCCGCCTTGATATTGCTGGAACAATGCTTAAACCATACTCACTAACTCACTCAATCCATTGTAAAGTGTATGAGGCAGTTGTCTACCTGTACCAATGTATCCACATTTGTTACCCGCCGAGTATATGTAAAGACAAAGGTTATTATTGATTAGAATTGTACTGGTTTAAAAGACTGAGTGCTTTTAGCAAATAAATCATATTTTAATGTCATTTGTATTTTTCAAGGGTAACCTACGTTTGCCTGCGGACTACGGAGAGAAATTGGCTGAGTGTGTCGCGAATCCCTGAAGCTTACACTCGTAAGTTCAGATATGTTCTTTAGTTTAATGTTTAATGTCACACTTCCAGTCTTATGACGGCGATGTGGTAACTATTCGAATATGGTGCAGAAAATCTAGTGATTGACATCATGAGCATTGATCTATGTAACTGGGTTACGATGACATGTGTCAAACAAGTCAGCGAGCCTGACCACCCGATCCCGTTAGCCGCCTCCACTTGTTTCAACCTAAAATGAGGATCGTGTAATATTAAACTATTAAAACAGTTACAATTCATTTCGCTATTTTGAATATGCCAAAAGGTCATACATTCACTACAGACATGGTTCAGTTTGAGGAAAAAATTGCAATCACATATTACATTGATATTTTACCATTGAACAACAGGACCCGTCACTTTGGTTAAGCCGAGGAACAAAGTGATGTCAGTTCATGTGTTTGATCATCTCATGTAATCATGCATATGCCATTAATACACAGAGCACCGGACTCTCCCCATCACGATACCCATAGATAAGCCAGTGGTGCAGCAATATGCGTTTGTGTTTCAGATGATGGTGATCGAGTTTATAGGCTTCCTCAAGGCCGTCATCATCCTACTTCTGAAACTGATATTGCTTTTTCTGAAGAAGCGACACCACAAGGACCAGCATCAATCAGAGACCAACAACGACTCAGGGTTCGGCTCACCCACCCCTTCGAACAATAATGATGAAGAGTTCGACCTGTCCTCAGAACTGGATGCTGAGATAAGCAGACTCCGTACCGAGAACAAGGCTCTCCGAGATATCATATCCAAGGAGCATCTTTTACCACGAAGGGACGTCAGTCGAAATGTAGTGACCAGTACGTATTGCCGAAGGGGGACGAGTCTCACTGACGTCTCTTACCACCCGGACGTTGTGACCAGCACTCCTCGGTCACCGACGTCAGACGTCGGCATCCACGACGTTGTATGCCAGAAGCTGATGCTGAAGCTGCAACTGGAGAGGGAGGAGAACGCCAGACTGCAGAACTACATCAACGATATCATGTACATGGTGCTTGAAAACAGACAGAGCTTACTAGAAAAATGACAAATACCAGATACTGTGTGTTACTCATTTTCAACTTGAATGATAACGTTGTTTTGTTTGTTTGTTAGTTGTTACACGTTGATAATAAACGTGACTTGAAAGCCAAAAGTTGGACTTTATTTGAAAAATAGCTAACGAGTGCTCTTTTATGCCGCATTCATCAATTATTACAGTTATGTCACGACAGTTAAATCTAGGTTTACTAAATAAAAGATTGATACTATGAACGACTACAAAATGTATTGATACCTTGACACTATCAAACAGGATGTCGTAATGCAAAACAACCTAAGCGCTATGAATGTCGTAGGTCTATGGTAGGTATAGGAGTTATGGGAATAGTGAGTGAGTGAGTTTGGTTGTACGTCGCTTTTAGCAATATTTCAGCAATTATCACGGCGGGGAACACCAGAAATGGGCTTCACACATTGTACCCATGTGGGAATTCGAACCTAGGTTTCGGCGTGACGACCGAACCACTGGGCTACCCCACCGCCCAGAACAAGTTTGAGAAAAGGTAATGCATACGTGGCAGATTACTGTATTGTAAACAACAGTATGTGTCAAGATTAGTATACGGTTTAAAATATTTCCTAGCCCTCGAAGATGCTGGTTAGCAGTGGTCTTCAGCAATCAATGCTTGTCTTAAGAGGCGACTAACGGGACTGGGAGGTCAGGCTCGCTGACTTGGTTGACACATGCCATCCCATTCTAACTGCATAGATTGATGTTCATGATGTTGATCACTCGATTATTTACAGACCGATGCAATATAGCTGCAATATTGCTGAGTGTGGCGTTAAACAACAAACAAAATAAAAGTACAAAACAAGATTTCCTTCATCGGACTTTATTATAGAGACTGTTAAATGCCAAGAGAGGTGACGCTGACGTTCTGTCCTTGAGCATTGTTACGCCGCACTCAGCAATATTCCAGCTATATGGCGTCGGTCTGTAAATAATCGAGTCTGGACCAGACAATCTAGTGATCAACAGCATGAGCATTGATCTGCGCAATTGGGAACCGATAACATGTGTCAACCAAGTCAGCGAGCCTGACCACCCGATCCCGTTAGTCGCCTCTTACGACAAGCATGGGTTACTGAAGATCAATATTCTAACGCAGACCTTCACGGATATTGAGCATTGTTGAACATGTTCTCAGGCCATAATTTGAATTTCACCCACGGCTGCTTTGTTTTCAAGTGTGAATTAACTAACTGAAATGTCAGTAAAACAAACACAGCCTTTGAACGACGAACCTTATTTTCCCTACTATGATATCCCGATTAATGGGACAAATTTTACGAAAAACCCATGGCTCAAAGCTGCAATGCCCAGCAACATTAGCAATATTCCCAAACATCACCCCGGGTGACACTAGTAATGGGCTTCATACATTGTACCTATGTGGAGAATCGAACTCGGCTCTTCTGCGTGGCGAGCGAACGCTTTATCCATTAAGCTTCCCCACCACGGGCTAACGAATGTAGTTTTCTGTCAAGATGACACGGAATAATTCAATAAAAATACCAACTAAATATTTACTTACACCAAGTTGCGGACCAATACTAGTTTTGTATCGTTGCATGAGCAGTAAAACGTGTTTATACAGTATGGTTTTGTTTACCATAGCATGTGTTGTGAATCTTTCGGAGGCTGGGACCCCATACCGCTATGTAAGCACTCATTATATAACATCCTGAAAATAATTACATGTCCGCAAAATATTGGATGAAAGCAAGTAGTGAAACGTTCGAATACTGCATGTAGCCGTCAAACCTAGAATAATATGTAGGACAGTTCTTGGTTTGAGTGAGTGAGTATGGTTTTACGCCGCTTTTAGCAATTCTCAAGCACTATCACAGCGGGGAACACCAGAAATGGCCTTTGGCTACGAGTGAGTGATTGAGTGAGAGTGAGTGTGTGTGTGTGTGTGTGTGTGTGTGTGTGTGTGAGTGAGAGAGAGAGAGAGAGAGAGAGAGAGAGAGAGAGAGAGAGAGAGAGAGAGAGAGAGAGAGAGAGAGAGAGAGAGAGAGAGAGAGAGGGAGAGAGAGAGAGAGAGAGAGAGAGAGAGAGAGAGAGAGACAGAGAGAGAGAGAGAGAGAGAGAGAGAGAGAGAGATATGGTTCATTCTTCACGTATGATTCATTATCCCCATATCGGCTGCGTACAGACAACATGGCTGCATGGACTGATGATGAGGTGATAAAACAGTTAAACAATTGGTGTCACCCTACCTAACTGTCCACTTACTTCTGATGCCGACTGTTTAACAAGCATTCTAGAAGTGGATGAGTCAATAAAGAAAAATACAGCTTTATGGATAACAACTTCTTATGTATTGTATAGAGCGACGGTTCGGTGTAGATTCTTTATAGCGGTGTAAGAATTGTCCCCGAAACATAGCTCTATACGATACATAAGAAGTTGTTATCCATAAAGTCGTACGCTTCAGGATAACAGTGTAAGAATCTACACCGAAACATCGCTCTGTATACAATACATAAGAAGTTGTTATCCATAAAGTTGTACGCTTCAGGATAACAGTGTAAGAATGTACACAGAAACATCGCTCTGTACAATACATAAGAAGTTGTTATCCATAAAGTTGTACGCTTCATTATTGACAACAGACACTAGCTGCAAGTAAATGGAAGAGTAAACTTACAAACGCAGATGCTGAACTCTAAAGCATTTAAAAAAGCATGCCCTATGCGCAGCGCTGAACTTATTCAGCGTTATGAAAGGCCATTCTCAAACTTCCTATAATCAGTCGCCAATTTGATTAATCTTACATATGACGGGTATGCACTTTACAACACGAGCCCTGATCGAGTGTTACTGCAACACTCTATTGGATCATTCAGCACAGCTGTGCTTTGTCCCAGTGTTGAAATCAACTCGGAGGAGAGCGAGCCTGCAAAATGTCGACCTACAAACTCATATATTTCGATGTTCGTGCTAAGGCCGAACTTGCACGTCTAATGTTTGCATACCAGGGCCAAGCATATGAAGATTCGAGATTTGCTATGGAAGAGTGGCCTGCGCTAAAACCCAGTAAGTCTGCGCGGTATAACGAGGTTGTAGAATCTTAAATTCTTCGGCAACGAATTGTGGTATTTTCGTCACATATCGATGAACATCTCGTTATGCTAGCAATATTATCCCTTTCTGTTCCTGTTATTTGTTTTAATTATGATTGTCATGTGAAGCAAAATACATGTGATCGGCATCACACGATGTCTGGATGAAAACTTGATCTGGGTCAATGGCGGGCGGAGGTAGTCTCGCCTCAGCGCCTCAGCTGTGCTAATGTGAGAGCGACGCTGGGGAAACTAATATCGAGTGGAATACAGCCTCGGGTAAACTGGGTCAGATGTTTAGGAAGCGTTATGTTTTTACTTACGCTTAATTGTGCCAGACAACCGTTGTGTGCTTTCAAAGTACAGTGGAAATACAACTGAAAATACCATCTGTATCGTAGATCCTGATCGTCAAATGCATTACGATGTCCTGTGTACGTAACTTACGTAGATCAGTACGATGTCCTGTGTACGTAACTTACGTAGATCAGTACTATGTCCTGTGTACGTAATTTACTTAGATCAGTACGATGTCCTGTGTACGTAACTTACGTAGATCAGTACGATGTCCTGTGTACGTAATTTACGTAGATCAGTACGATGTCCTGTGTACGTAACTTTACGTAGATCAGTACTATGTCCTGTGTACGTAATCTACGTAGATCAGTAGGATGTCCTCTGTACGTAATTTACGTCGATAAGTACTATGTCCTGTGTACGTAATTTATGTAGATCAGTACTATGTCCTGTGTACGTAATAATGTAGATCAGTACAATGTCCTTTGTACGTAATGTACGTAGATCTTTGTCATGTCCTGTGTACTTACTTTACGTAGATCAGTATTATGTCCTGTTAACGTAATTTATGTAGATCAGTACTATGTCCTCTGTACGTAATTTACGTGGATCAGTACTATGTCCTGTGTACGTAATGTACGTAGATCTTTGTCATGTCCTGTGTACGTAATTTACGTAGATCAGTGGTTTATCCATTGTGTAGACTACCTTATGTTGTATGGCAAAACTGTTCTTACTGATAACGAGGAGGTTGGTATTGCCAACTTCATTTACTCAATCTCTATCCTGGCGGTAAAGTTGATTTTACGTGAGTGAGTGAGTGAGTGAGTTTAGTTTATGCCGCACTCAGCAATATTCCAGCTATATGGCGGCGGTCTGTAAATAATCGAGTCTGGACCAGACAATCCAGTGATCAACAGCATAAGCATTGATCTGCGCATTTGGGAACCGATGACATGTGTCAACCAAGTCAGCGAGCCTGACAACCCGATCCCGTTAGTCGCCTCTTACGACAAGAATAGTCGCCTTTTGTGGCAAGCATGGGTTGCTGAAGATCTATTCTACCCCGGATCTTCACGGGTCGGTTGATTTTACGAATATTAGTAGCTCTAACTAAAGACTTTTATAATCTAAATTAATTAAGGCATTGATAACATAGGCGTTTATTGGTGAAGTTCAAAATATTTTGCAACGCCGGCTCAGCGGTCTGTAAATAAACATGTCTTGATCAGACAATCCAGTGACTAACAGCATGAGAATCGATTACTCAATTGGGACACGATAACATGTGTCAACCAAGTATCGTAGGCAGTTTGGATAATCTATAATATGACCATGCTGTCAATTGGAATTAATCAACACAACATGACCATTGTCAGTATAGCCACCACCATAGAGTCCTTAGCTGACTATAATCAAAGTTAGACAAAGGCTGGTTGGCCACCGAAGCATGACGATGAGGATGAGGTGTGGGATACTGCAGGCTGAGGACACATCTGTCGTAAATGCGACACGTGAGAGTCTGATCAGACCCTTAGGGATAAATTGAGAATGCTTTGTGTTAGTCGAGACTTGACCCTGAGACAGCGACTAGGCAGGTTGGCTGACCATCGCCTCCGACATGCCGCCTAGTCATTGTTGTAACATCATGTATATGTATACAAATTGAAACACGAATAAAAGTGTAGTGGACCCACTGATGGACTTCTGTCATTGAAGACACAGATATCCCTTAACAACCCGGGATACAAGTGAGCGAGCCTGACAACCCGATCCCATTAGTTGCTTCTTACAACAAGCATGGGCTGTTGATGACGGACTCATTTTTCAAGAGAGAAACAAGACAATGATGCATAAGACTAGAAGCAGAAATGGAATAAGCTTGATTACGAGACGTGCAATGTACTCATAATAAAAACAGCCGGAACATGTTTCAACACCCTAGCAACCTATTCTTGTAAGAACCGACTAAATGGTTCGGATGGTCAGACAAGTTAACAAGGTGTGTGTGTGTGTACATAGCTAGTCAAAGTTCAAAAGCTGATTATCAGCAGTGTTGCTTTTAAAACATACACTCTACAAATCTTCGGAAACGGGCGTCAAATGTCTTGCTGGTTCACGTTCAATCCTCTGAAAAATAAGGACTATGTTTTGCCATTTGATCTGATTTCGTTCATCACATTGACTCAAATACAAATATGTTCAAATGCAAAGTAAATCCCAAGTACGGGTTGCCTTGTCGTGGGAGGCACTGCGATGTACTGAACAGAGTTTCATCCCTTTGGGCATACCAGGAACCACATTCGTGACCAACTCGTGTTATTCCGGGACAAGCCGAATAGCGACTCGTGCCCCTCTGGAAGGATTTCATATTGGCGTATGAACATCAGAACTACTTTAAACAAGAACGATAACTCTATTCCTGTTTCATTCCAATGTTACTTAACATCACCGAAGTACTTGTACATTGTATTGCTGTTTTTCTTTTTACTTGTTTATTTTAAAGAATTAATTAAACCTCTTAATACACAACTAAAAGAAGGAGAAAGACATATTCTAATGTAATTATTACCAGCTGTTCACCTTATATTTCCAATTATGTTGATGTTCTAAATAGGGTTTAATAATCACAAATGGGAATTGTTTCATTGAATATGCCAATAAAAAAAAAAATTTCAGCTACATTAATTCCCAAAGCACATACTCAAGAATGACTTTAAAATATTCCTCAAACTAACCATTCGTATAATCTTGCTGTCATACTCCTGGTGGAATTGTAAATGAATTTCGCTGAAAAAATATGAATGACCCCCCAAAAAGTCAGACTAAAATATCCCAAGAGATGTGAAATATAACCCCAATGTTTAAGATTAAAGTTGATTAGTTACATACAAATATTATATTATTGTTTTGAAACTCGTAGCGATTAATGATTACATTTCCTAAAATTGTTGGAAGCGCACGTACAATCTCCATAACAAGCTCGCAAGCTCGTCAGAAATACACTCAGTTGGACCCATGAGAGCCGTTATGTCAACAAACGCACGTACGTGTATTTGAATCTCTCACCGTCAATCGCATGATTCTCATTAAAAACTTCATAATAGGCAGCAAAATCCTGTTAGCTACGTTTTTTGTACTTTTAATAGGACGATATATATTTTTCATGATTTTTTAAACAATGACATAATGCCATAAACGATATAAGTACTCGGGATTATTTTTATTAAAGCACAGCAGTCATTTCGCGCGTTCTGATCGGTTTGTCGTATTTTCGCGCATAACAAGCATCGATAGGGGGACGAGCTTCTTGGAGTTTACGGAAAGGGACGAGTGGTGACGAATGCAGGAACCTATGATGGTGGGTTCGAGTTCCGTTTCGCTCCGATTATGTGGCCGTGTTTTGGGGTTTCACCAAATTGGAAAAGTCTAAACCTGAACCATTTCGCACTTTTCCCCTACAGCAAATTTCCATACTGTGAAATAACTCGAATACTGTTCGAGGGGCGTTAAACCAAACTCACTCACTCACTCACCTCTATAACTGTGACTTGTATTTCCCAAATGAAAAGGACAATTAACTGCATGTTTAGTACTTTATAGCAACAGAAGAAATGTGTAAATATCCCTCAATGTCATTTCAATCCCCTCAAAGTCATTTCAATCCCAAATCTTGTTCAATTCCAATATGCTGGATCAATAATGTGTTATTGTGGTAAACACATGGTGTAAACGAACATCCAATGATTGTTTCAGAAATGCCCTTCGGACAGGTTCCAGTCTTAGAAGTTGACGGAAGGATGTTTTCCGAGAGCGTTGCCATAACTAACTATCTAGCCCGGAAGTTCGGTAAGTATGCAAAATCACGCATGCGCATGGATCAGTGACGGAATCCTGTCAGTGTGCTTTACGGTTTGTCGAAAATGTTATATCATCGATATTTGACGGCAACATGCACGTGGAAATAGGGCTAGTACCAGTCACAATTTTCTGCTCGGGTACCCCACCCCCTATTACCCTACCCTATGAAAAATGCGTTCATTTTATGCACAGGATAGAAGCAAGCTGAGTGAGGTCCAGAAGTCAATTAAAGCAAAAGTACAGCAGTGTAAACGGGACTTTAAGTGAGTGAATGAGTGAGTTTAGTTTTACGCCGCACTCAGCAATATTCCAGCTATATGGCGGCGATCTGTAAATAATCGAGTCTGGACCAGACAATCCAGTGATCAACAGCATAAGCATCGATCTGCGCAGTTGGGAACCGATGACATGTGTCAATTACGCCAGCGAGCCTGACCACCCGATCCCGTTAGTCGCCTCTTACAACAAGCATAATCGCCTTTTGTGGCAAGCATGTGTTGCTGAAGACCTATTCTACCAGGGATCTTCACGGGTTACGGGATTTTTAAGGCAAAGTGGAGAGAGAATTCAAACGAAATAACACCCACCAGGCATGGGAAGGTCTTGAAACCATCATTGGGACAGAGACTAGAACACAACTTAGAGCTGTTGGAGAGGAATTAACATTTGCGCAGGAGCTGAACACCTTTTATTCACGCTTTGACCTCCATGATTTTTCTGATGTTACTGACAGACTGTTATCCAATCTAACTGATACTGAGAATAATCTTACTCTGACTGAAGAGGACGTAAAATTCAGATTTGGACAACTAAACATCCGTAAATCGTCTGGCCCCGATGGCTTAAGTGGTATGGTTTTAAAAGATTGTAAGGAACAACTCGCTTTTATTTTCAATAAACTTGTTCAACTTTCACTGGATAAACAAGTCATACCATCAGCCTGGACACTATCTGAAATCACACCAGTACAAAAGAAGCCGAAGCCTTCCGTAAACAATGACATCAGACCTGTAGCTCTTACGTCAGTCGTGATGAAGTGTTTTGAGAGCATTGTTCTCTGCATGCTCTCCAATCAAGTGAAGGAGTGAGTGAGTGAGTGAGTGAGTTTAGTTTTACGCCGCACTCAGCAATATCCCAGCTATATTCCGGCGGTCTGTAAATAATCGAGTTTGGACCAGACAATCTAGTGATCAACAGCATGAGCATCGATCTACGCAATTGGGAACCGATGACATGTGTCAACCAAGTCAGCGAGCCTGACCACCCGATCCCGTTAGTCGCCTCTTACGACAAGCATGGGTTACTGAAGGCCAATATTCTAACCCGGACCTTCGCGGGTTCAAGTGAAGGACAAGCTGGACCCTCTACAATTTGCCTACAGAGCCAAGCGAGGTGTTGAAGACGCTACGATCTCTTTGCTGCGCAACATCTACCAACACCTTGAGAAAGCTGGAGCGTATGCACGCATTCTGTTCGTGGCCTTCTCCTCCGCCTTCAATACTATCCAGCCTCGCATCCTCCTCCAGAAACTAACTGACCTTCACGTAAGCCCTCAACTCATACGATGGATAGCATCATTCCTGACCAACAGAAGACAGTATGTGAACGTCAACAACGCTACATCTGAGGCGACCGTCACTAATACAGGCGCCCCCCCAGGGATGTGTACTGTCTCCTATGCTCTTTACTCTCTACACCAATGACTGTGTCAGCTCCCACTACAACTGTGATAGGGTAAAGTTTGCCGATGATACAGCAATTAGCAGTCTCCTGTTCGACAACGAGAATTCCTACAAAGAGGAAGTATTAGCCTTCACGGCGTGGTGTGAAGCCAGTGTTCTCGAACTAGTTATATTAAACTAAAGAGCTCATCATTGACTTTCGCATGAAACGATCACCAAATCACGTGCACACCTCTAACTATCCAGGGTCAAGAAATAGAAGTAGTGGAGAAGTACAAGTATCTAGGGACTATTATTGACAATAAACTTTCCTTCTCACAGAATACCGATGATATGTACAAAAAAATGCCAGTCCCGTCTACACTTCTTGCGAAAACTCCGTTCATTCTAAATAGACTCTACCATTATGAAACTGTTCTACAAATCATGTATTCAATCTATTTTAACTTTCTCAATACAGTGCTGGTATGGACCCTTAACGCTCCAGAACAAGAACAAGCTGAATAGTGTTGTGAGAGTTGCAGGGAAAATAGCATTTTGTGATTTTGGAATTTTAGAAACTCTATACATTTCAACCGTTTCTGATCTTACCTCAAGAATTTTAAAGGACCCATCTCATGCTTCAAACTCTTGTTATAAGCTTTTACCTTCCGTTCGCAGATATCTTATCCCCAATGTTAAATCTAAGAGAGCAAAACAATCTTTTATTCCTGTTAGTATGTCTCTTTTAAACCAATCTTAAATATTATGTTATCTGTTGTGCTTGGCTCGTAGTTATTATTATAGCTTTTGTGCTTAACTTTTAGGGAGTCTACATGTGCTATTGCTTTGGATGTCTTCAATATTATTGTTTATGTTTGTATGTCTGTAAATGTCATTTACCTCTGATGTACATTGGGTTCCCTCTTGGGTAATAAAGTATTGTCTATCTTATCTTATCTTACCCTACCCAGATACCCGATAAGTTAATTCCTGACATCAAATGTGTAAGAAATGGCAATATATATTCTTCAGCTCGGAGGCTAAAATTTCGAGTTTTTCAATACCTTAATCAAAACAGCCGACTGTAAATAAGGTCTAAATCTTCAAAGACAATTCAACCTTTAAATCATAAAAGAACAACATATTACATTGTTTAATCTATTAGTCACATGATCATAACGGGTTCGGGTACTGAGATGGGTACCCGGGTCCAACTCATTACCCACACGACCCGAGTATCCGGGTTACCCGCCCCAGCCCTACGAGGAAAGTGCATCTCTTCGGTCTATCCTACATGAAATGCACACGCCGTCATTTTTAATAACTGGAATACAAATCAACGCGGTGTTAAACCCATCACCCTCCCCGCCATCAACAAAGCACTACTAATTGTATTTTACTCCATCCGTACAGATCCTAGTTAGAATTGATCTTCAGTAACCTATGCTTCTCCTAAAAGGCAACTAACGGGATCAGGTGGTCAGGATCGCTGACTTGGTTGACACATGCCATTGTTCCCGATTACGTAGATCGCTGCTTATGTTGTTGATCACAGGATTGTCTGATCCAGAGTCGCTTATTTACAGACCGCCGCCATATAGCTGGAATATTGCTGAGTGTGGGGTTAAACAGCAAACACAACTAAAAACAAAACAAAATTTCCTTCATCGGATTTTTTATATATACTAGCCACATATAGAAACTGTGCATTGTCAAAATATTATCCCAGTTGATAAGTACGATAACAATGTCAAAGGTACATATAAACTTTAATGGAGGGATCATGAGACCATAACAAGTCGGGAGAATTTCAATTGAAAAGTCAATCACAATGACGTCACGAGTCCACAAGCGGGACAGGGTTCAAACGACCATGTCACAAGCTCAAGAACGGGTATGTCCACATCGGCATTGAGAACAGCAGTGCATCGACGACGCATAGAGCCTATCAAACGTGCAAGGAAGGCTTGTGGGATGTCACGCCAGATTCTCTCAAGTTCTGTTGCAAGGTCAATGACGTTATCTGGCGGATGAGGAAGACGGCGTAGACGTCGATCCATCTCGTCCCAAACATGCTCTATCGGGGAGAGATCCGGTGAATTTGCAGGCCAAGGCAGTAAGTCAACGTTGTGGTGTTGCAAGAAATCAATAGCAACCCTTGCCGCATGAGGGCGGGCATTGTCCTGTTGGAATGTTAACCCAGGGCCATGACGTTGCAGAAAAGGAATTGCCACAGGTCGAAGAATCTGATCCCTGTAGCCCACACCAGTTAAGTTGCCCTGAACAATCACCAAAGGAGTTCTTTGGCGTGCTGTTATTCCACCCCAAATCATCACGGAACCACCACCAAAGCGATTCCTCTCCAAGACACAGGCCTGTGCATAACGTTCTCCCACGCGTCTATAGGCACGTTGACGTCCATCACTATGGGAAATGTTAAACCTGGACTCATCTGTAAAAACAACGTTTCTCCACCAAAACAAGGATCCGCGGACATGATTTCGGCACCACATTCGGCGATGACGTTGTGTCAGGATAGGCCGTATGGCGGGACGTCGTGGTCTGATCCCGTGATGACGTAAACGTTGTCGAACCGTGTTGGGGTGGATACGGCGAAGTCCTGGGATGGTTCGGGCAGTCATCACTGCAGTCTGAAACCTGTGGCGAAGATGGGTCACCCTTATCCATATGTCCTGTCTTGGCGTTGTTACACGTGGACGTCCAGAACGTGGCCGATCGATGACGTCATTTGTGTTCTGGTAGCGTCTCACCAGTGCAGAAATGGTGTTCCGGTGGCAGTGGAAATGTGCAGCCACTTGTCGTTGAGACATTCCCCCACGGACCATCCCAATGGCCTCATGACGTTGTGCAGACGTGAGCCTTGGCATGCTATGCGTTTCAATAGCCGTTTAATTTTTGAACGATCGCAAGGGCAGGGGTTGAGCTTTCCAAAGTGACAGTATTGTGTGGCATTCATTTGCTCTGTTTCTCTTTCCCGGAATGCACGTGCAACAACGTATTGCACGTCTCAAGGACGAACCCACTGACGTCACGGAACGTGGAACGTGCATGCATGTTGGATACATGTCACTAATCTCTGAGTTTGAATCCTTATGTGTCTACACAGGTTTGATAAATTTAGATTTTAAATTTTTGTATGCACAGTTTCTTTATGTGCCTAGTATGTAAAGATTTTAAAATGCCATGAGAGATCACGCTGATGTCTGTCCATGAGCATTGTTGAACATCCTCTGAGGCCATAATTTGAATTTGAACCACGCCTCCTTTGTTTTAAGTGTGAATTAACTAACTGAAATATGCGGCGTTAAACAGCAAACAAACAAGTGTGTATTTCACTCCAGGGCTGTACGGAAGTACCGAATTCGAGACTGTCGAGGTGGACCAAGTGGTGGGCATCACCCAGGACATGTGGAAGGTCATCGTAGACTGGGTACACGAAAATGAAGAATCGAGAAAGGTTTGTTGTTAAAGTAGCCACATCTCCAGATGAGGGGGAACAGGACAGACCCTCCAGGCTAGATATGATGGCTGCTGACTTCTTTCTTAACTGGTCACTAAAATACAAATGCTGCAAAATAGATTCAGGACATTAAAGATGATCGGATTGCGGAATCGTTGAATAGCTAACTGCATTGTACTTGTTAATTTGTCAGTGATTTGTCTAGTCCAGAATCGTTTACTCGCAGGATGCCTCAATGCAGCTGAAAACTTATCCGACTATGGATCAAGAGGTTAAGTGAGCAGGCTCGGTGACTAGCTGTTTGCATTTTGTCTTGCCCTGAAGCTGTAGGCGATGAACTCGTCACTGATTTATCTAGTCCAGAATCGTTTAGGGTACCTGCAGCTATACGATTCTGGAATAGATAAATCAGTGACGTGTTCAGGTAAAAATGAAAAGTTCATGGACTACGGTTCAAGAGAATTGAGTGACTAGGCTCGGTGACTAGCTGATTGCATTTCGTCTTGCCCTAGTGAGGTGGATCTTAACTCAATCACTGATTTGCCCGGCCCTGATTCCTTGAAGGCACAATGTCATACCACATTTCTCTAAAAATGCACAATGTTTTTCTTGCAATAATACTATCAGCCCTTAGGGAAGCTACAATATAATTTATTCTTCGCCTCCCCCCCCCAAAAAAATAAATAAATAAAAATAAATATATATATTTAGATTACACTATTGAATTAGAAAGTTCGAATGAATTAATGCAACGTTGCATTAAATCGACTCTCGCGCCCTCTAACGGTCGAACATTATTTCAAGCGAACCCCATAGAGTTATGTCCCTTGGGACGCTCTTTACAAATATCGCATAAGGCAACTTGTGACTGAGGCCAGTTCGGCAGACACCGAAACACCGCAATCGTTTACATGCCATATATGGCAAGTGTTATCTGTTTGGAAGCTGTTCGCCTCGAAGTTTCAAATATCGATTTTAGGCAAGCCGTAAGGGATAATAAGTCTTTTATTGCATCAATAGGAAGCTAAAGTGAGTACCAGTACCCCCAACATATAACATATAGGCCAAAATATTGTCGAAAATGTGTGACATTGTGCCTTTAACGTACAGGGCACAGCAATGCCACGTTAGCTAACTAACAATCTCGAGGATCGAGTGACCAGGCTTGGCGATAAGCGTGTTGCGCTTTACTCTGATCATGACTAGTTGATTCTTTTTGATCTGGTAATAAGCGGCCCTGACCCAATTGCGTGTGGAACATGAGCGTTAAGCAAGAGCTGTGTTTATAAGGTAATTAAGATGTCTAGAACACTATAGGTTATCACTATAGGTACCTGGATTAGAATAGGTCCTCATCACTCCACTGATTGTCACTGTAAGTTGGGACTCTGGCAGTAGGGTAACCGAATGGTTAAAGCGTTCGCTCGTCACACTTAAGATCCTCGTTCGATTCCCCACATTGGTACAATGTGTGAAGCCCATATCTGGTGTCCGCCGCCGTAATATTGTTAAAAGCGGCGTAAAACCATACTCAGTTGTAACTTGCGTCTACACTGGATTGGCATGGGATTATTTGGGGAGACAAGGAATTTGTGTGATTCATATTTGTTTATCTGGAATTTTTAAATATGTTCTTTTTTCTCAGGTTTTGGACCGCTATTATAACTTCCCAGTCACCATCTGCCGAGACTGCCTGATACAATGGTGATCGGACGTTGCTGTCAATATTAAGTTATTCTTTGGTTGACCGAGACTCGACGATTTCCGACCGCCTTCATATAGCTTGAATATTGCTGAATATTGCTGACATCGGCGTAAACCAACACTCAACTGACATGGTTGTCTGTTGCAGGCTGACTTGCAGAAAGAAAATGAGGAGAAAAATTTCCCAAAGCATCTGGCTTCCTTGGAAAAGATTCTGAAAAACAATGGCACTGGCTTTTATGTTGGTAATCAGGTAAGTTTGTCCAAAAACATTACAGCGTATAATCTCCCTTTTCAATAATGAGTGGTTCAACTGACGAACAATATTTTTTATGTAAAGTTGGTAATTTCGGGAATATATAAATTACAGACTATAGCCATGCTATAACCCAGCAACCCCTAATTCCCTTCAACGTTCACTAAAACCCATCGTCATCTCTAATTGTAAATGAATTCCTCAATCAACTCCACATTTCCAAAATGATGCAAAATGCCGTTTTAACCTCTTGTCTTTGCTCACACCCTTATGCCTTGAGACAAGGTAATAAAAATAACATTATTCAACGTCTTAAGGTATATCGCTTCCAGGATCAAACCAGCGACCTGTTGCTCTGGAGTAAACGCTTTAACTACTTGACCACGAAGGTGGTTTAAATTAAACATGAGGATGTGGTGCAGATATGTCGACCACAATGGTGGTCTGATTAACGTGACCAAGGATCCCCATTTTGCTGATTCCGGATCCTGGAACCAACGTTCATAGCATACTGGTACACCTTCTTGACTCGACTCTGCCGTGGGGTAGCCTAGTGGTTACAGCGTTTGTTCGTGACGCCGAAGGCCCGAGTTCTATTGCAACATGGGTGTAATGTGTGAAACCAATTTCTCGTATCGCCAACCGTGATAGTACTGTATATAGATACACATGGTGTCAAACTCGACTCACTTATTTACGACTCAGCAGCGTCCGAGTCTTTTCCTGGAAGGGCTTGTATGGTAGCAGCATTGGTCACTCATAAAACATTATGCGTACGGCGTGGCTTATAAATGCTGATTGACTGGTTGAAAAGGTGTACTGGACGATTGTTGATCAACCTTTGCCTTATCCATTGACATAATGTCAGACAAGGGAACAGCGGTTCATGACAGGTGTGAATCGTCTCTGCCATACTGATGTTTCTCTCTTAAAGCTTTTCCTTGGTTTACTATTTGTTTCAGCTATCGTATGCTGATCTGGCGGCCTTCGACGCAATGGACATACAGGTACCCGACGCTGTAGTCGATCAGTTTCCCCTGGTCAAAGCCAACAGGGAGCGAGTGAGGACAAACGACAAACTCAAAGATTACATCGCGTCACGCAAAGAGGCAACTCTCTGAATCCGTGATACTTTTGTCAGATATTTCACTTGCCAACTGAAATTCGTTTATCGTGAAATGTTGTCTTGTTTAATTACGCTTTACATCTTCTGATTAAAATGCTGTAATGGTTTTATATATAGTTATTTTGTATGTTATTAGCGGGATTCAGCGTTAAAATGTAGAGGTCCTAGCAACCCTTGTTGTTCGTAAGAAGCGTCAGAATATTTGGGTGGTTTATTAATTTAAATAAGTGAATTGGTTTAACGCAGTTTTTAACAATATTCCATGATGATATCAGGCCACTATACCCGGAAGGCATTGATCGTTCATCACAATATCAATCACTGGATTATCCGGTCTAACTTCACTTCACACAGCCGGAATCTAGCTGAGTGAAACGTTACGCTACCAATGCATAAACAAAGTAACGAAGGAAAAGCTAATCTGTTGTGAGATTGCCCTGTCCGTTAGTTAACATTTAACTCTAAGCTCATCTGACTGAAAGGTGTCCCATATGCGGATCCAGGAATTTCAAAAGGGGGGGGGAGAGGGTGGGGTTCCGAGCAACTTGAACCCTACCTTGGCTCCGCCAAATGCCAAGCATTAACTTCAGTGTGGTCTTTGGTCATTTTCCATCCCCCCCTCCCCTCTGGACTCGCCAATGCTGTCAATCAACTGTTAAACATGTTCATGTGATTTTTAAACATGTTCATGTGTGTTTTAAAGGATATGCTTTTGCCAATCATTCTTTATTTGAAACATTAAAGCAAATACTTCCAAATCGTTGTTATGTTACTCTTATATTAAGTATTACTGTTGTCGAATGAGAAAATCTATGGAGCTGAAACTTGATATGTAAGTACATGAACACTCACAGTTGCTTCTCCAACTCGTGAAGGTCCGGGTCCAAATTGGTCTTCAGTAACCCATGCTTGTCGTAAGAGGTGACTAACGGGATCGGGTGGTCAGGCTATATGATTTGGTCGATACATGTTATCGTATCCCAATTGCGCATCCATGCTCATGCTGTTGATCATTGGATTGTCTGGCCCAGACTCGATTATTTACTGACCGCCGCCATATAGCTGTAATATTGCTGAGCGCGGGGTTAAACCAACCGACCGACCAACAAGGTGTCCGTCAACAGCTGAAAACAATCCTGCTGGCAATATCCTCACAGCGAAGTTCTCTATAATGGCATGGTAACGAATTTGTCAAGCGCTGAGACGGAGTTGAGACTGTGGACATCACTTTATGTTCCGAGCAGTGGTGGGAGTATAACCACAGACTAAATATTTTATGAATGCTTCGTTTATCTGCTGCAACGTACAATAATCGGAAATGATGAGTGAGTGAGTTATAGTTTTACTCCGCTCTTAGCAATACGCCAGCAATATCACGGCGGGCACACCAGAAATGGGCTTCACACATTGTGCCCATGTGGGGAATCGAACCCGGGTCTTCAGCGTGACGAGCGAACGCTTTAACCACAAGGCTACCCCACTACCCCATCAGACACTACACCGCAGAAGCAAACTTTCGAGCTAGTCACGCCGAGAACCAGATGGTGAAAATGTTCAACATGCCCATGTCAAGGACATTCATGAAAATATGATATTAAAGACTACATTAATGATCAGTCATACGTCACTGGGGAAAACTATTTTGTTTAAAATCTATATATTGTGATAAACACATTTATTTTAAACACCACTGTTATAATATAACGGTTATAAACTAAAGATGTTTTAAACCTCAAAACGCGTACATTGTATACTGAACGTCCTTAAAATAGGTATACTGGAATAGCTCTTCGACAGGTGATACCGATATGGTTTATGATCGGCAGAACAATGCATAGCTTGTTAGTGGTTTATTTATCCCGGTTTGACTGCCAAGACTGATCAATATTTTATATCTGCCTTATAACTGGCTCACAATATGTATATGGGATTGTTTGCTCAGAATGAGGTTTGGCTCCGTATCATGTGATTAATTGGATCAACACTATGACACTATTCAAATCTTGTTACTGATGCCAACATTCCACAATCAAGAAAATGTTTCCAATATCTTGTTAGAGCAGTGTTAATAAGCACCATTAAGCATTCACCTGACACCCAGCCTTCCACAACTAATTATAGCAAACCCCGGGTTAGAAGAAAAATGTGCATTAAGAAGAGGCGACTGACGGGTGGTCAGACTCACTGACCATTCAGAGAGCATTGATATTGATTCATGTATGTTAAGTTACATGTATAATCATTTTTTGCAAATGATATTGATACATCACAAACATAAAGGTAATTTTGAAAAAAAGCGAATAGTTGAATATTCCCTGTTCGTATTCCTTACGAATTCACGTAATTGTTTACGTAATTGTTGCCGTTATTGTTTACGTAATTGTCCACGTCACTGTTTACGTAATTGTCCACGTTATTGCTTGTGCAATTGTTCACGTTATTGTTTACGTAATTGTTCACGTTATTGTTTATACGATTGTTCATGTCATTGTTCACGTTATTGTTACGTAATTGTCCACGTCACTGTTTACGTAATTATTCACGTTATTGTTATGCAATTGTTCACGTTAATGTTTACGTAATTGTTCACGTTATTGTTTATACGATTGTTCATGTAATTTTTCACGTATTGTTTACGTAATTGTCCACGTCACTGTTTACGTAATTGTGCACGTTATTGTTTATGCAATTGTTCACGTTATTGCTATATGATTGTTCACGTAATTGTTCACGATATTGTTTAGGTGATTGTTCACGTTACTGTTTACGTAATTATTCACGTTATTGTTATGGAATTGTTCACTTAATTGTTCACGTTATTGTTTACGTGATTGTTAACGTTATTGTTTACGTGATTGTTAACGTTATTGTTTATGCAAAGTAAAAGTCCAATGGAGAGATGTATATATATATATATATGTTCATATTTCATACGTGTTTCTGTGATAATTGGCAACATAAGTAATTGATAGAATATGTGTCTCGTTTTGTAAAAATGCCCTTTGGCCAGGTTCCTGTTTTTGAATTTGACCGAAAGCGGTTTACAAAAGGTGGAGCTATAAATATGAATGCTGACCAGACAGTTTGGTTAGGTGGCCAATTAATTTCTGGTCAAAGAGAACATCACTCATTACTTCAGAGACAAGACAATGTACAACAGGGAGTACAGGAACTAAATAACATCAACTACTCGAGATAAAGCAGCCTGTATTTGCCTATATGTTATAGACTTCAAAACTAGCATTGCAATTTAATTTATTTGAATTGGGTAGGATTATAGACAGCAAGACTGAACGATGAACACACTATATCATTTAGAAATGTAGCATATATCATTTACAAATGTAGCATATGTAATATCTTGGGAAAACACATCCTCAGTAATGTACCGACTCTCACGCGGGAATCGAACGCACACTATAGACTAAACCAATTTATAAGTGTGAGTCCCCCCTAATAAGACACCGATTGCTCAAAGCAAAGACCAAACACGAGTATATTTAGTGTGTAGTCGTTGTTCGAGATATTAAGTGTCTTTGTCACAAAGGCAGCCACGTGCACTTCATTGCCGTCCACATCTGTCTAGTCTTACCAGTAACCCTCATCATCGACATCTTACCAATGACCCCCATCATCAACATCAGCGATACTTCATCCACATAATGACATCTATTCGTTACTTGATCCTCCTCTTGGTAATTATTAGAAGAAACGTGTCCATGTGTACCGGAACCCAGTCATTATGCCGCTAAGGATCTGCTGACGAAGTATGACCAGACTTTCACGTTATTCATATGTAAATCTATACAGGGGTGTGGGTGTTCCAGAAAACTCTCACGTCTCATTTGGTGAGCCAACATCAGAACTCTGAGATCGAATATGTAAGTCAGAAAAAACATATGTTAAACTCTTTGCTCCATGAACGATTATGTAGTTACAATGTATGTTGAAAACCTTATGCAATCCATTAACGAATATATCACCAAAATATATGTAAAAACCTTAGTTCCATTAACGATTATGTCGTTAAAATGAATGTTGGAAGCTTTATGTATCTCATTAACGAATACGTCACTGAAATATATGTAATTTGTTTTAGCTCCATTAACGATTATGTCGTTAAAACGTATTTTTAAATATTTATGTGTTCCCATTAACGAATACGTCACTAAAATATATGTTAAACCCTTAGCTCCATTAACGATTATGTTGTTAAAATGTATGTTGATATTTATATGTGTCCCCATGAACGAATATGTCACTAAATATATGTAAAACCCTTAGCTCCATTAACGATTATGTCGTTAAATTTATGTAAAACCCTAAGCTCCATTAATGATTATGTAGTTACAATGTATGTTGAAAACCTTATGCAATCCATTTACGAATATATCACTAAATATATGTAAAAACTTTAGCTCCATTAATGATTATGTAGTTACAATGTATGTTGATATCTTTATGTATCCCCATTAACGAATATGTCACTAAATATATGTAAAACATTTGTTCCTTGAACGATTATGTAGTTTAAATGAATATTGAAATATTTATGTATCCCCATTAACGAATATGTCATTAAATATATATAAAACCATGTCGCCATTAACGATTATGTCTTTAAAATATATGTTGAAACTTGATTCATCCCCGTTAACGAATATGTCACTGAATATATGTAAAAACCTTAGCTCCATCAACGAGTATGCCGTTGAAAGTATGTTGAAAACTTTATGTATTCCCGTTAATGAATATGTCACTAAATATATGTAAAAACCGTAGCTCCATTAACGATTATGTCGTTAAAATGTATGTTGAAAACTTCCCATTAACGAATATGTTACTTGTTACGGTTAAGCAATAGCCGTGACAAAAGGTTTGTGAGTCTCCTTTAAACCATCAAAATAAAACACAGGCAAGTCAAAATATTCAAACATATGTTGAAAAACAATGAGCAAGGTTACAATGAATGCCAATACAGATTCTAAAACAATACTTTTGAGTTACGAATCTAAAATATTGGGTCACAAATCTAAAATATTAATTATAAGTTTATAATTACCGGAGTCTTGATGTTGACGGTTGTTGAATATTCAGTGCTGGCGAGG